GTTTGAGTTCTGACTGTCACTTCAGTGCTGTGTGGCTTTGGTAAATCACTTGATCACTTTGTCTCAATTTCTACTCCGCAAAAAAGAATCATTAAAGCACTGCTGTGAGGATTAAATGAGGTAATTGATGTAAACGCTTAACTTGAAAAATGGTTGGCACATAGGAAGGCTGCTCCATGTTAGCTGTCATTCTCTGTATTATTATATAATTTTTAAGTTAAAAAATCTCAATATTCTCCACTAACAATTTTTCTCAAAAATGTATTGGGGCAAAATTCAAAAGCAAAAAAAGTTCCAATTTTTTTAAATTTTAAGAAGGGTTAATTCTATTGTCAGATTTAGAATAGTGAATTTGAAAAAGAAAATAAAACGGCTTTTAAGTTTGCAGTATATGAGAGAGAGCATCGATTTCTATATTCCAGTGGAAGAAGACAATTTGTGGAAAGCTTTAAAATCTATGATTTAATACCATAATTTGAAGTGATCACCGCTCTTCCTCCAAGAGCCTGGCTAGCTTCCTCTCCTTACCCAGGTCTCTGTCAAATGTCCCCTCTTCATCCCAATATGTCAGCGTCCCTACCTGATCACTGTCTGCCCATTACCATGTTATGTATTTTTTTCTATCTGTTCACTGGCTTTTTTTTTTCTACTCTCTAATAAAATGTATACACCACAAGGACAAAGACTTCTTGTTCACATCCGTATCCCTAGTGCCTAGAATCATGTCTAACACAAAGTAAGTACTCAAGTATTTGTTGAACGAATTAATGAATTCATTTTGTTCAGACTTAAAAAGTCTGAGCCAATATTTCTCCAGCTTCAGTTTTTAAGTTGCCTATGAGTATTTTTTTTAATTTTGATTTTCACTTTGAAGATAATATACTAAAAATATAACCCTAATCTAGATCATCTGGGTGATCATTTGGATGGCATATAATTTCAGTGCTGGTCTTTTTGTTTTATTTTTGAAATCTCTTGGGCATCATGTTAGATTATTTTACTTGTTTATAGGCTAATGAGAAAGAAGATAGTCAGATTTATTCAATAGTGTGTTCTTGTCTAACAAAAGCTCGACATTGCCATGTAGGAAGAGATAATTTCCTTGCTATTTAAATAGTTTCAAGCACAGAAAACTGGGAAGTTAGGAAGCTTCTCGATTTTTGTCAAGAGTTTTAAAACAAAACGTTGACAGCGAAATCTGACAAATAGCACATACACACACAAAACTCCCCACTATAAACCAATCACACTTGTAAATGTAGAAGAAAAGTCCTAAAAAAACAAACAAAAGTAAAAAATATGTTATAAGAATAATACATCGTGACCAAGTAAGGTTTATTTCAGAAATACAAGAATGGCTGAATATTGGAAAATACATTAGTATAACTGATCAAATCAGTAAGTCAAAGGATTAAAAATCTATGATTATCTTGACAGATGCCGAAAAGACATTTGATAATTTTCAACATTCATTCCAGACAAAACTACTTAATAACCCTATGGAGAAACATTGGCAAGAACCCCTTTAAAGAGCTCACCATCACTGCCACTATTTAACATCATTCCAGAACTGCTAGCCTACATAATTAGTCAAAAAAATAAATAGGCATAAATATCAGAAAAAGAGGAGTTGAAACTATACTTTTTTTCAAATTATATGAATGGCTCTCCGGAAGACCCAAGAGAATCAACTGAAAGTCCGCGAGAACTAGAAACTAAGTTTACTAATAAGGTGGACAGTTACAAATAAATATATTTTAAATGTACAATAAAAATCAAACAGTTTTCCAATATACTGGTAATAACTACTTAGAAAATATTAGAGAAAAATGATCCCATTCAATAGAAACAAAATGACATAATATCTGGAAATAAACTTATTAAGTATAGACAATACAGGAAGACAACTATGAAATATGGAAAGATACAAAAGCTAGACTAAAAAATGGAGATTTTATGTGTCTGTATGAGAAGATTTAATAGCAAAGGTAAGAATTCTTGCCAAATTATTATATAATATTCCACAATCCTCCCATTGGGATTTGTTGTAGAACTTGACAAAATTCTACAAGCATCCCAATCTCTAGTACAGTTCCTAGTATACAGTAAGCACCTATTTTTCAGAACAAATGAAAGAATAATCAGGAAAAAAGTTCAAACAAAATGTTATGAGGGAGGATTTATATTACTAGATTTAAAATGCATCATAAGGCTTTGATAATTACATTGTGTATTAAAGGCTGTAATACAAAGATCAATAAATAGAAAGTTCAGAAGTTTATACCCACTCACACACACACCCAAACTTAATATTAAGATAAATTGGCATTTCAAGTCTCCAGTAAAATTATGGATAATTTAGTAGTTGTTATTTGTAACAGTGGTTCACCATTTGGGAAAAACACATATTTAGATATCTAACATAAAATTTATTACAATAATTACATATTAATTAAAAGGCAGCATTATTTTTAAATGAGTGAATGTAATTTTGCATATACCATAGGATCATAATTAATCATTACAAATATGAATAGAAAAAAAAAGAGATGGAGAACACACCAAATTCTGAGCAGCTATCTCTGGGGAGGAAGTATAAGTGAGTTTTCCTTTCACCTGCTTTTTCCAATTTTCTGTGCTCACTTGAGAGACATAGAGAAAAAGAGCACAGACATTGATTTGAATCCCAGTCACTTGCTGGCTGTCACCTGTGGACCAGTTACTTAACTCCTCTGAGCCTTACTTTCTTCATCCACTAGAATTGGAGATAACAATATCTACCCCATAGGCACGTCATGAAGATTAAATAGGATAATATATGCAACGTGGTTAGCATTGCTCCAGCATGTAGTAAATGCTCCATAAACATCAACTGTTATTACTTTTGTAATGAGAAAAATGTTATTAGGAAAAGGATACTTGGAACAGACACTGACAGCCAAACCAAGGGACAGTGCACTGCCATAGTTTCTGGGACTGCAAAGAGTGGTGACTAAATCTAGTCTAAAATTGCTGGAGCTAATCCCAAACTTTTGGGTCCAGATCTTTGAAAGTAAGGAAGAGCCCACGTAGTGCTGATTAAGGGTATTGCAGTAAGAGGAGAGGTTTAGATTAAGCTACTTCCATTTATTCTATTACGACTAGTTACAAGGGTGCCAACTAGAGATATAAAGTGTAACAAAACCAATTAATGAATTTCAAAAGTAGCTATGAAATGAAAATTCTCATTTTTCCTAGAGAAAAACAGAAGGGAAAAAAAACCCCAAAATTTTGTGTTGGTTCTAAGACAATGTGATCAACAGTCAGTGATATACAGGAAGAGGCTTTGGAAATGAGGGTTTGGAAACGAGGGTTCAAGTCTCAGCTGTGCCACCAGTTGGGTACTTACCAGGGAGCCATTTAACCTCCCTGAGCCTCAGGTTCCTCATCTGTAAAATTAGGGAATTATGTTAATTGATCACTAAGCTTTCCTCCAGTTTCACTGAACTATGGCTTTTTGAATTTGAAATTATTATGTCCCAAATAGAAAGATTTAATTACAATCAGGGCTGACACATAAGCCTAAAACAACATCAACAACAAACTCCCTGAGGGTCTGGTGGATTCTTGTTGTTTTAATGACTGGTGTAGATAAAGGCGTAAATATTGCTCAAACAGTCTGCCCAGTAAGTGGATCCACAAAAGTTAAAAAAATCCAAATTTGGAAGCTCCTTCTGATTCCTTTCCTTAGAGGTCTAGAATTGAATTTTTTCTCTGCTTATGAATTGGCTTACGTATATCCATTCTTTCAATCATTTATTAACAGACTACAACGTGCAATGTTCCAAGGATACCAAGACGAACTACACAAAATCCTTGCCCTCAAGTACGCAGGTTTAATTGTTTACCTGAACTTAAAACATACATTTTTAACCATGTTTCACCTTGTTTTTTAGCTTGTAGTTCGGTGAGAAGCTTTTCTCTCACAACTTTAATAGCTGCTTCAGTGGCCGCAGCTATAGTATTTTTCATTAATGTTTCCCGGGCTTTATTAAAACGTGGTTGAACAAGTTCAGTATAGTCAACTACCTGCAAAGAATATTTGAGAAAATAAGCACAAGCTTTCGCAACTATTAAAGACATTGCTCATCTATTTATCTATATCTCTACCTATATTCCAAAAATATTAATACTTCCTGAGGTACCTTTGGAGTTGTTATGTTCAGAATTCACTGATTTTTGAGTACTTGTTTCAGTAGAAATTCAGTCATATTTTTCATGTGAGATCTATATAATATATATCATGTAATATATAATACAGATAATGTAATATATATCATGTAATATATAATATAGATCACGTAATATATAGATCATGCAATATATATTCAGGTGACATATTTTTTGGCTTAACAGAAATTAAAGACATATATTTAAAATCAACTTTGTATATATAATTTACATACAATGAAAGGCATGTATTTTAGGTATACATTATGATGAATTTTTACAAACACATACATACAACAACCACCACAACCAAGATATAGAAGGTTTATATCACCCCTAAAATTCCCTTATGCTCCTTTGTGGTCAATTCCATCCCGCTGCATCCCCTCCCCTAGTTTTCATTCCTGGTCCCTGGCAACCACTTTCTGCTCCCCGTTGCTATAGATTAGTTTTGCCTTTTCTAGAATTTCATATAAATGGAATCACACAGTGTATAATCTTTTTTTGGCTTTTCCTCCTTAGCAGAATGTTTTTGAGATTCATCAGTGTTAACACAGGTATCCTTTTTATTGTTGAGCAGTATTTTATTGTATGAACATACCACATTGTTTTATCCACTCATCTATAGATAGACATTTGGGTTGTATCCAGGTTTTGGCTATTACGAATAAAGCGGTGATGAACATTTCTACAGAAGTTTTTTGTGGACATGTGTTTCCATTTCTCTTGGGTAAATACCTAGGAGTGGAATTACTGGGCCATATGGTAAGTGTATATTTGTCTTTATAATAAACCATCAAACTGTTTCCAAAATAGTTGAACTATTTTACATCCCTAGCAGCAATATGTTCAATTTTGCAATGTTGCAGTTTCTCCACATTCTCACCAATAATTGCTTTTGTGAATATTAAATTTTTAGTTATTCTAGTGGATATAAAGAAGTATATCTCATTGTAGTTTAAATTTACATTTCTCTAATCACTAATAATTTTGAACTTCCTTTTATGTGCTTATTCACTTATCCTTTTTTAAAGCATATGTTCAACTTTTGCCTATTTTAAAATTTGTGTTAGAATTCTTTATATGTTCTGTATGTAAATCCTTTGTTAGGTAGATAACAGACTTAATACTGAATGTTGGGATCTTAGAAATAGATTTCTACCTAACTTTTAGGTTTAATTAATATTTCCAGATCCCTAGATTCCATTCTGCTTTTCTTGTAATAGGCTTATATTGATTTATTCCATGGCAATAAATCTACATCTACACCATCGGTTTTTAATGGGTACATAGTATTGCATTAGATAAAAATATTGCAACTTATTTAACTAAAATACCAATAATATATATTTAGGTATACATATTTTTGCTATTATTATGTAAACTAAGCTATGATGAACACAATTATGTACATATATTTGTCTGAGTTTCTTTAGGAACATCCATAAAACAGAATTGACAGTTCAAAAGATGTGCATGGATTTTAGGCTTGTATAATACATGTATTTGCAATTGCTATGCCTAATGGTTATACTCTTACCAGCAATATATAAGCATGTATTTTTCCTCATTCTGGCTACACATCAGTACTGGGTGTTAATAGCCCTCTTTTAAATGTAACAATGAGATCAACATGACATATCTTTGGTTTTTGGCATCTCTCTATTGGGGAAGTAGTATCCTTTTCTAATGTTTAGTGGCTATTTGTGCTTATTATTTTGTGAATTACCTGTTTGCTATTTTTTTCTATTGGGGATTTATCTGTGTATTGATTTGTCTCTTTATATTTTAAAATGATCATGTTTTTATCAGACACATATTGTGACGGGTTTAAAATATGTCCACAAATCCTTTGATACTCCTCCCTTCAGAAGGTGGAACCTAAGTCCCCCCTTCCTAGGAATAGGTAGAACTTAATGACTTGCTTTAAATAAATAGAGTATGGTGCAAGTGACAGTGGGTGACTTTTCAGACTAAGTCATTAAAGACATTGAACCTTCCTCCTTGGTTCACTCTCTCTGAGAGAAGCCAATTGCCATGTCATGAGGACATACAATAAAGATATAAAGAAAGAAAATATTTGGTACAGCTGTATAATATGTTTGTGTTTTAAGCTAACAGTTATCCAAAAGAGTAAAAATGGTAAAAAAAATAAAAGTTTATAAATGCATCATAAAGTGATTTTGTCATTGTGCAAACATCATAGAGTGTACTTACACAAACTTAAATGGTGGAGCCTATTACACACCTAGGCTACATGGTATAGCTTATTGCTCCTAGGCCACAAACCTGTACAGCATGTTACTGTACTGAGTACTGCAGGCAGTTATAACACAAAGGGAAGTATTTGTGTATCTAAACATATCTAAACATGGAAAAGGTACAGTAAAAATGTGGTATAAAAGATAAAACGATACACATCTGTATAGGGCTCTTACCATGACTGGAGCTTGCAGAACTGGAAGTTGCTCTGGGTGAGTCAGTGTGTGAGTAGTGAATAAATGTGAAGGTCCTAGGATATTGCTGTACACTACTGTAGACTTTATACATACTGTACACTTGGGCTACCTTAAATTTATAAAACATATTTTTCGGCTGGGCGTGATGGCTCACTCCTGTAATCCTAGCACTCCGGGAGGCCGAGGTGGGAGGACTGCTTGAGCTCAGGAGTTCAAGACCAGCCTGAGTGAGAGTGAGACCCCATCTCTACCAAAAATAGAAAAATTAACTGGACACTGTGGCACGTGCCTATAGTCCCAGCTACTCGGGAGGCTGAGGCAGGAGGATCACTTGAGTCCAGGAGTTTGAGGTTGCTGTGAGCTAGGCTGACGCCACGGCACTCTAGCCTGGGCAACAGAGTGA